GAAGACTGGAAGTGGCACTGTCGCTCAAGTGGTAGAGAGCTCACCTTGAGCTGAAGAGCTGAGGGACAGCGCCCAGGCCTAGAGTTCAAGCCCCACGACCAACAAAAATAATAATAATAATAATAATAGTGAACCAGAAAAAGAAATAGAGAACTCTTTGGTAGTATGGAATCAGCTATCTCATTTTTACAGGGCAAATGGACAAGGGTTAAAATTAGCTTATCTCCTTTTATAATTAAGAGATTATAAGAAAATTTCACTTAGAAGATCCTGAATGCTTACGAGATGAAGCAACAAACTTGTTCAAGAAAATGATTCCAAGGAAATGCTAAACATCATAAAGATTTCACCATCACGATTTCCCTCTGGGAGTTAGTGTTTACTTTCCATTTTGTAACCTGATGCAAAGTTAGTACAGTTGAAGGAAGTAGTCTGAACCCAGGGTAAGTTATCTCATACCATTTCTTCATTCCAACTGCATCCTGTATTCAAGTGCCACCTATATGGTACCAGTTATGCGTGATGCAGTGATGACGATTTTATCTATCCTCTAATAATAGAAAGAGGAAATACATCTCCAACCTTTCAGGCCAGGCACTGGAGGTTCACATCTGTAATCCTATTGGTAGAGGTAGACTGAGATACATCCATTGACAATATGTACAGTCTGCACATGCATAGCATTGGTTCTTCTCAATTAAATTGTTTGTTTTGTTGGTCGACTGGTTGGCTGACCTGTTGGCTGGCTGGCTGGCTGGCTGATTAGTTGATCAGGTTTATTTTCTCCAGTGCTGAGGATGTAGTTCAGGTCTGGTGGAAATTAGGCAAGTTAGGAGACATAAAGAGACTATCTAAATCTGCCTTCTTTGAGATGATCAAAAGGCTGTGCTCTGAAGTTTTTACAACAGATAAAGAGACAGAAAGAATTAAAAGCATGTCCAGAAAAAAGGTGTCCTGAAAGTTACCTGCATTTTGAGTAGACCTGACTCATTTTACCCACCTAGAAGCATTTTCTAAAGACTAGGAGTTGCTAGAGATATTCTTCCAGCTCAGAAAAGTATAAAGATCATAGTCAAGGGTCACTATCTTCAAGACCTCCTTTTGTCTACTTCTCCTTACTTCATTCTGTCATAGAAAAATAAATTCTTGATAAAAAATCTCCTATTTTGTGAGATTCTCCTGTTTGTGAGACTTCATAAAAATGCTTTTTACATATGAATCTCAAGGATATTTGTTTTTTCATATAAACTGGGAAGCCAAAAGAACACTTCATCCATCATCCAGTAACAGAAGCAAAGAATCCTAGAGTATGGACTATTTGATTCACTCAGCAAACATCTACTGAATACTTACTATGTGCAAAACTCCCTTTCACCAAAGGAAAGGCCCAGGAGCCAGACTTGAGCGAGGCTGCATTGTAAGTGCTCCCTTGTCTCCCCGCATCACCCTCCAGAGCACAACTCCTATTTCCAGAACTTCTCTTGGCCTGGTATCCCCTTCCATCCTGCATTCTCTGTCTCATCTGGCAGACAAAATAAGGAAAATCCGATTCTATCTCAACAGGAAGTGGTAAGCCCAAACAGCATGTAGACCACCTAAACCTGCCAAACTGAAGGTGACAGGACCCATGTTTTCTGGGCCACTTCCCTCGCCAGCCTGAGGAAAGCAGTCCCTGACTTCCTAAGAGATCCAAACTGAAGAATGTATTGGCATACATCACAAATGCCACTTTCAACCTCTGACCACATGATTTTATTTCTTCTATAATCTCACAGTTATTGGAGATTGGAGAATTTAATCCAAAATCATTCAATATTTTGTTTAATGATCTTTGAAGTGGAAATCCTGTCAAAATGACCATTCTTAACCTCTTAGAAGAAGGAACCGATCTTAAATCTACCAACCACTCTTCTCAAACTGAACAGGCACGGGGCAGAGAGCGATCTGATACGACAGTGTCGGGTGGGGAACAAAGCCACAAGACAGACTGGCATACTCTCCTAGACAGATGAGCTTCCCCTCAGAAGAAAACACATGTTTTATATTAAAATAAGCTCTGCCAGTCATTAAGATTATGCTTATCATCCTTTGCACTCAGGAGGATGAGTTCTGGAGGATTTTATTTGAAGCCACCTGGGGCAGGATTAAGTCCAGGAGATTAAGCCCCAATCCTGATGAGTGCTCGTGCACGCACAAACAAACACAAACACACACACACACACACATACACACTCCCCCTAACATTTAATAAAATGATCAAGAGGTTAAAGGTAAAAATTCAAGGACCAGTGAAGTGGCTCACACCTGGAATCCCAGCTATACGTAGGTAGAGATGGGGACAATCAAGATTTCCATCAGTCAGATCAAAAAGCTCCCAAGATCCCATCTGAACAACAACAACAAATTCCTGAGACCTCTTCTCAACCAATAAAAAGCTAGGTTTAGTGGCATGTGCCTGTCACCCCAGCTAAAGTGGGTAGCTTAAAGAATATTATAGACCAGAACCACCAGGGCATAAATGCCAAGATCTTATCTGAAGAAAAAAGAAAAGAAAAACACAGAAGCAGAAGGGGATGAAGGCATGGTAGAGCACCTGCCTAGTTAGCACAGGATACTAAAATCAAGCCCCAGTATTATATACAGAAAAAAAACTCATACTTAAAGCGGTCCACAATTTCTCAGCTGCCTGCAAATAACCCTCTTGCCTTTAAATATTGTTTAGTAAAACTTTTGAGAAATGTTCACCCATACTCTGTACTTTATCTTATGTTTGTCTCTGTCCCCAAGAACCTACAACAGTAGCTAAGATAGTATCTGGTATAAAGAGGTCACTCAGTAAAGTTTGCAGAACTAATGACATAATGACATTATCAATAACAAAAGACTTTTTTAATCACGTTTGGGTGAAAGGATAGGTGGACCAACAGCTACATCAGGAAATGGGATAAAAGCAATCCAATTTACCAAACACCCAATGGTTGCCATGGTAAGTTCAGGTGAGTCAACTCAAGTGGAGTTCTTTTCTACTTTGACAAGTTCAGGAAAGCAAATATTGTACTTGTTAATCTCACATTGAAAGGTGAGGCTTAGGAGACAAGTCCACCAGGTGAGACTGGTGCTCATTAAATGTAATAACCTATGAAGGTTTGGAAAGGCACAGTGATAGTAATAATTCTACCAATGATATGAAGTCTTGATTGGTGGAATGACCTTTAAAAATGAAAAAGGTCAATAATCATTTAAAGGTTAACCATCTGCTCCTATACTGGATAACCATGGAAAGATTCTACGTACACAAATATGGACAGTATGAATACTTCATTCCTAAAACTGCATTAAGATTTGTTGTTGTTGTTTTGGGTGCCAGAACTATCCCCTTGTTTTGTGCAAGCCCACAATTCTCCTTCCAGCTTTTTGCGGATTTAATTGAAGATGAGAATTTCACGGACTTTTGTTCCCAGCCTAGCTTGAACTACGATTCTCAGATTTCAGAGTCATGTGTAGCTAGGATTACAGGAATGAACCCCCAAAGATGGGCTTTCATTCCAAAAAGTATTATTATTCTCAGCTGGACTAAGTTATGCTGAAAGATGATTCAAAGAAAGAGCAGAATGCACAGCCATGTTTACATTTTCCTCCCACCCTGGAGACACTGGTTTCACCTCACTTGTAAACAGAAAAGATCAACTGCCACACCCACTTTCTCTACACCAGCCCTCGGATGGCAGGATGAGTGACCTGCTCCTTCTCCAGACCCAGTTCCACAGCCCTGCACTCCCCAGACTGGAGGCTCCTCCTCCCTCCCCTCCAGCCTCCAGTCTGGGAGTGAGAACTCCCTGCCTCACAAGTGTGTGGGGTGCAAAGCCAGTATGTAGTAAGCACCTGACACACATGGGAACAAGATGTTCTTTTCTGAGACTCAGGCAAACCATCAGCCAATGTACTATCTTTCCGATCTTAGCAATAACAAAAAGAGCTCAATACAATTTTAACTAAAACCCAAACAGAAAGCAGAAGAACCTGCTCAGCATTCACTGAATTGGGAGGAAATAAATAGTAGAACAACTGTAGACCAGACTCCAAGGCAGGGACTGATGCAGATGAAGCTAAAACTTTTCTTCCTCCTTCCTCCCTGAATGTCCTATAGTCTGGCCTGCTGGCATCTCTTCCCTCCTGGGAACTAAACTAGAAATGTGGTATTCAATTATTTCTCTCAAAGACAGACTGGTTATTTTATTCTATTGTGCAATAAACCAGTTCTGTTCCTAAGAACAGAGTGTGGTGGGCACTCGTGAACACCTGTGTACGGTGCCTGGTGTGTGTGTGTGTGTGTGTGTGTGTGTGTGCGGTGGGCACTCGTGAACACCTGTGTACGGTGCCTGGTGTGTGTGTGTGTGTGTGTGTGTGTGTGTGTGTGCGGTGGGCACTTGTGGACACCTGTGTACGGTACCTGGTGTATGTGTGTGTGTGTGTGTGCGCGGTAGGCACTCATGAACACCTGTGTACGGTGCCGTGTGTGTGTGTGTGTGTGTGTGTGTGTGTGTGTGTGTGTGTGTGTGTGTGTGGTGGGCACTCGTGAACATCTGGGCCTAAACACAATCAAGTTTCCTTTCCTACCAGGTCAGGATCCTCCTACCTGGAGGATGCCAAAGTGGGCTTGCTGCCTGGGGCAGCGCCTGAGGCCTGAAGGGGCCTGCAGGGGAGGGGAGGCTGGGGGAAGGGAAAGGACGGGAGGGGGGGGACAGGGAGGGGAGGGGAGGGGAGGGGGCAGGGAGGGGAGGGGAGGGGACAGGGAGGGGACGGGACAGGACGGGACGGGACAGGCGGGGAGGGTTCCAGGGCTGGTTCCAGGGCTGAGGATGCCTGCGTCCCGACCCCGGCTCCTCTGCGAGCCCCGGGGCCTCTCCTGGGAAAAGCCAAGCGAGCAGGAGAAAGGGGCCCAGACAGGGCCCGAGGCTGCGCACCCCAAAAGCCACCCCTCCGCGCCCCACCCCGCGCACCTGGGAATGAACCTGGCTTCGGCCCCCAGTCGTCCCTGGAAGTCCCGCCACGCGCGGCCGCCGGCCCCGTCCCCGTCCCCATCCTCGTGGTCGTGGTGGCCGAGGGGGTCGGGGTCCTCGAGGCCGAGGGGGTCGGGGTCGGGGTCCTCGTGGTCGTGGTGGCCGAGGGGGTCGGGGTCGGGGTCCTCGAGGCCGAGCGGGTCGGGGCCGGGGTCCAGGTCGCGGTCCCCGCGGGGCTGGTCCTCGAGCCCCGCGCCCGCCCCGCGGAAGCCGCGCGCGAACTCCTGGAAGGTGATGGCGCCGTCGCGGTCCGCGTCCAGGCGCCGGAACACGGCCTCGGCGTCCGCGGGCCGCACGCGCAGCTCGCGGCACAGCGCCCCGAACTCCTCCCGCTCCAGGCGGCCCGAGCGGTTCGCGTCGCAGGCGGCGAAGACGGAGCGCAGCCCGGCCAGGGCCCGCTCCTCCGGGGCCCCGCGCGCCTCCATGCCGCCCGCGCCGGGGCCGCGCCGGACGGGGGACCGCGCCGGACGGGGGGCCGCGCCGGACGGGGGCCGGGAGCCGGGTCGGGGGCCGGGAGCCGGGCCGGGAGCCGAGTCGGGAGCCGGGTCGGGGGCCGGGAGCCGGGAGCCGGGTCGGGGGCCGGGAGCCGAGCCGGGGGCCGGGAGCCGGGTCGGGGGCCGGGAGCCGAGTCGGGAGCCGAGTCGGGAGCCGGGTCGGGGGTCGGGAGCCGGGACGGGGGCCGGGAGCCGAGTCGGGAGCTGGGTCGGGGGCCGGGAGCCGGGTCGGGGACCGGGAGCCGCGCCGGGGGCGGCCCTTCCCGTCCGGCCGGTTTAGCCGCTGGCGGGAGTGTCCGGGAGGGGCGTGGCGTCCGGGCCGGTCACCGGGCGGCGCGCGGGGGGTTCCGCCTGGTCCCCGGGGCCCCGTGCGAAGCGCCCCGGGCCGCGCCGGAGCACCGAGCGCGCAGCACCGCCGCCGTCTCCGCAGCACCCGGCACGCAGCACCGCCGCTCTCCCCGCCGGCCGAGGCTCCGCCCTCCGAGGCGGGGTCGGCGCTCGGACTCGCGCCTCCACCTCCGGCGGCAGCTTCTGCTTTCCTGGACGGGACGGGGCGGGCCGGGCGAGCTTCGCCGGGCGGACGGAGGGCCGGCCCCGGCCGGGGCCAAGCCGGGAGCTCGGCGGCCTTTCCGCCCCGGAATGGGCGGCGCCGCGGCGGCCCGAGCCGGAGGGAGGGCCCTCGGGGGCGGCGGCCCGAGCCGGAGGGAGGGCCCTCGGCGGCCAGGCGGCCCGGGCTGGGCCCTCGCAGCCGCCCGCCGCGCGCGGTCTCTGGGCCCAGCCCTGCCGGCCGCGGGTCGCAGTGCGCCCGGTCCTCAGGGCCCGCCGCCCGGCCCGTGCTCGCTGAGGCCCGCTCCGCGCGCGGCCCCCTCTCGCTCGGCCTCCCGGAGCCGGGTGAGCGGCGGAGCCCCGGGCGCGGCCGCACTCGCAGCACCTCCCGCGGGTGCCCGCCGCCACAGTGCCCCCCACCAGGAGCGGCTCCACCCCGGCCCCAGGCCGAGAGAGCGCGCGGCCGCAGCGGGAAGCCAAACAAGAAAGGGCCCCTGCTCCCGCCGGAGCGGGAGTCGTGGGACGGTCAGGGTGTCCTTAGGAAAGGTTTTGCAGCTCTCCAGGAGTGCTCTTGGCCAGGAACGGGAGCTGACAGGCGTCTTGGAAGGACGAAGGACCCGTCACGACCGTTGGAAAGGTCAGCTTGCTCTCTGGCAATTAGAGACAATCTTGTTAGAGCATGTTTCTAAAAGAGTGAAAAGATGTCCTTGCAAAGAAAGGTTCGTGACCAAATACTTTCATAAAAGAATTGGAAAAGAATCCTATTACTTCCTTCTGGGATGAAATAAAGATATGTATTTCCTAGTTGAATTTTACTATGAACGTTTTAGTTAGGGGGTTGGTTGGGATTTCTATGAATTTTCCAGAGTAACGGCCGTGGAGAACATACTTTGGGAAACTCCATGGTAGACGATGAGTGGGGTGGGCTGTTGTAGGAAATGATTCCTTGTTTGCATCGTGAGTCAACCCAGCATCCCAAAGCAGGAGTGAGGATGAGCTCTGCAGCCTGTTCTCACCTGCCGAGATAAGCTTTCAATGGAAGCCTGTTGCTATGCACCATGTACAATTTCCTTCTTGCATAAGAGCATCCCTCAACTGTTTTACTCCTGCAGTTACTCTGCCTTAGAAAGATCTGCTACTCCAATTAAGACAGACCTAGATAGCCAAGTAATGGAATACCACTGAAGGGAGCGATGGGTAGGTTTGAGAATTCTCTGGAACTTATGCACCACTGAAAGAGCTGGAGTGCCTGGAGTCTTTTCTCATGAGCAACTAACTACATACACATGGCTTACTGTTTGCAAGAAAGTGAAAAGAAAAATATTGAAGAGTTTCCTAGCAGAGATGAGTCAACATACGGATAGTGATCTACTTACCCTTTATGTAATGCATCAAAAAGAAAGAAAATAAGACATATACTCATATACTCCTACAGAGTAGCATCTAATTCTGATGTTTTATTTTTCAAATAAAGCATTAGAGATTGTGTTGAACTTTTCATTGTATGTTTCTGGAACTCATCTACAACATTATGGGCTGTATTAGCAGATATTAGGCTTGGATGAACCTTTTAATTATAAGACACTGGACATCTTTATTGTGCTCCAAAGTGTATCAAACACTTTTACAAGTCAAACCAGACTGTTGCTGGCATTCGTCCCTGGAGCTGAGGGAGGAATGCTAAGTTCAAAACTCTTGATCTCTTCTGTGATGACAGAACAAGGCGTCTGTGCATTTTCCCACATGCACACAATATGGGTCTTGCACATCTTGCTCCTCTCAGTTGAAACAAAACTTTATAATTTATATTATGTGTAGCAAAAACACAAATGGCTCTCAGTTTAATTTTGGTTATCCAAAACAGCAAACTGCTTAAAGTATGATTCTACAAGAGCTCCCAAATTCCCTCCCTTTAGTGTTCAAGCTCTGAACACTACAGGGAACAGGACCCAAGAACATGATGAGAAACCAGGGCAGTGATAACTTTAGATGATATAAAACTCTCTTCCCCAGCTGCCTGTGAAGAGAGGAGCTACCATGACATGAGCAGGCTGGGCAGCTAGGTCCTGAGCAACCGTTTAAGAAGCCTAGAAGAGATCTGGGGAAGGCCTCTAGGAGCTGAGCGTGACCATACTCACAGCCAGCAAGGAAGGAAGCCTTTGTCCTACAACCTAGGAGGATTGGATATGGCCAACAACCAGAATGAGCTTGGAAGAGGACTCTGGGTATCAGATTAGAGCACAGCCCCAGCTAGAAATAAGGCCTTGATTCTAGCCTTCTGAGACCCTGATCCAAGCACCCAGTTGTCCTGTTCCTTGACTTAGTGGACTGTGAGACAATAAATGTGACTTATTTTAAGCTGTGAATCTTGTGGTGATCTGTTGCAGTGAGACTCTACTGATATCTAAATGCAAATCTGTTTTCTTGAAAAAGAGGAAAAGGAAAGGAGACAGGATAAAGTTTCAAAGTGCTGACAAAAGCTGTTAGCAAACTATGACATGTAGTACCTCTGAAACTATTTATCATATAATCTTAAGTTAAAGTAGCTTTTAAAGACTTTTGGTTTTGAGGTCTTGCAAACATAGCCATTTCAGATTGCCCAGGTATAATCAACTGCCTATTAATGTTGCACAAAAACTGATTAAAAATAAACCTTTAAAACAAATCTTAGAGAAGAAAAATAAGGAAACTTTTATAACTGTGAGAATACCTAATGGAGAGTCATCTGAAATCCTTCAGTATAGGGAGGGCCCAGTAGAGCACTTGCTTAGCATGTGTGAGGCCCTGGGTTCAATTCTCAGTAACACAAAAGGAAGAAGAGGAGGAGGAGGTAGTAGATGATACAATTAATATGCACTAATGACAAAGTGTTAAAAATAAAGTTTAAAGGGCTGGGAAGGTGGCTCAGTGGTAGAGCGCTTGCCTTGCATGCATGAGGCCCTGGGTTTAATTCCCCAGCACCACATAAGCAAAAAGAAAAAAAGCCGGAAGTGGCGCTATGGCTCAAGTGGTAGAGCGCTAGCCTTGAGCTGAAGAGCTGAGGGACAGCGCCCAGGCCCAGAGTTCAGGCCCCATGACCGGATCCAAAAAATAAAAAGTACATAAAAATAATAAAGTTTAAAGAAAAAAAACAGACTGGATACACAGGTCTGACAGAGCATATAGAGAACTGATTAAGAGAAACTTTCCCTCTATTTCCTCCACAGATCCGTTGAACTACATCAGCTTTGAAGCTGCCTTAGTCATAAACTGGTTTGTTCAAACCATTTCTTGAAAATTTGTGCTCCAGTGCACATTGTAACATAGTGTTAGTCACACACTAAATTCACCTGTGACATAATGATTTAAAAATCTACTGCTAAGCCAGTAATCCTAGTTTATGCTTGTAATCCTAGCTACTCAGGAGGCTGAGATCTGAGAGTTGTGGTTCAAAGCTAGTCTGCTCCTGAAAATCTGTGAGACTCTTCTATCTTCAATTAACCACCAAAAAGCTGTAGTAACTGACCTGTGGCTCAAATGGCAGTGAAAAAGCTGAAGGATAGCCCCAGACCCTAAATTCAAACCCTAGTATCAGTATAGAAATGAAAAAGAAGAGAAACCTGATGGCAGAAAATCATCTTCAAAGATGAACCTTAAAAGCCTTTAAAAGATTACACAGCAAATAGTTAAAGCTAATCTACATTGGACAAAAAGTAATGGAAATGGCCAGCCCTGTTGAGGTGGAGGCTTGGGTCAGTGGGTAGAACGCGAGCCCGTGAGTGAAAGTGTCCTGTACTGAGTTCAAGTCCCAGTCTCAAAAAAAAAATTAATCTACAAGCAAAAAGATTGAAAACTTCTGTAAACTAGTGGAGCACTACAGCTTGAACTCAGGGCATGTATTCTTGGTTTGCTTTTCCACTCAAAGCTGGCACCCTACCACCTAAGCCATAGCTCCACTTCTTTTGAATGTGTTTGCCTGTCCTGATTTTATACTGGGATCCTCAGATCTCTGCTGAGAGTACCGGCACCTTGAGGCCTATCCTCTCAATGTCCAGAAACATTCAACAAACAGAAAACTCATTGTGTGCTTTCCTCCAATTTCATATAATTTATAGAGGAGCTATACATTGCACAGTACTCCCCATAGGATTCCACTGGTATGCCACTGGGTTAACTTCAAACTGCGATCCTCAGATCTCAGCCTTCTGAGTAGCTAGGATTACAGGCATGAGCCACTGGCACCCAGCTTGGTATAACATTGGGTTCCACCACAAGATAAGGACTCAAATGGTTTTTCTTGCTTGCTATTGTTTCCAACATATTTATAAGATGATTGTTTTTGTTGCTTTGTATGTCCCTCCCCCACAGTATAACCCCTGCTTTCACTGTACTTGATGTTGGTATAATTTGTGGAAGGGAAAAAACAAATCGTTTAAATAGGGATACAGGTGGACCCATTGCAACAATGAGATAGATGTACAAGACATTATGTCGAAAAATGAACTTTACAACTATGCGGTGGGGAGGCATGAGGGGGAAAGGGACGGGAAGGGGAAACAAAGGAGGAGACAACGATGCTTGATAAGAAATGTACTCATTATCTTGCCCATGTAATTGTAACCCCTCTGTACAGTATTTTCACAATAAAAAATATGAAAAAAAGAAAAAATATTGGGTTCCAGTGATTATTCAACTGAATCAATTTTGAAAATGTCTTCTATCCTAACAATTTCCTAATAATTATGGAAATTCTGAAGTCTCCAAAACAGATTTAAACTCAGTAATCCTGATATTTTTGCATTTTTTCTTAAATCAGTAACAAGAGTTTATTGGTAAAAACTAATCCATATTTCTTGGAATAAAGAAAACTTTAATAGAAATATGAGCAAATAAGCCTGAGCAGTGTGTTTTTATCTGCTCAGCTCCTAAATCCTTTCCTACATTACCCCATTTCATCTCCTTTCTGGCCCTGGTGTTGGTGTTTTCCAGAAGAATTTAGATAACTTAACCAAGGTCACACAGCTAAGAAAAGAGCTGTGGTTTGGACCTGAGAATTGTACTCCAAAGTCCACATCAATTCTTCCTCTCAAATTAAATGAAAGTGATTCCCATTATGTATGTAAACATAAAATGGTTTCCCCCACCCTGGGTGCTTTATGAGTTAGAAGTCGGATTGCTTCGCACAGAGACTGTCATGTGATTCTCATTTGTAGCAGTCGGTTAGCAAATGAGCAGACAGGACTCCGCTGTCGTCTCACTGTGCTATTCGGTTCTGGCTCGCTCTCAGTCTTGACAAAAACGATGGTGGTTGCACCACAAAATGCAGACACTCACTTCCATTGGGTGAAAACACATCCAGGGGCTGGGAAGGTGGCTCAGTGGTAGAGCGCTTGCCTTGAGCTGAAGAGCTGAGGGACAGCGCCCAGGCCCAGAGTTCAGGCCCCACAACCGGGAAAAAAAAAAAAAGAAAACACATCCACTCATGTAGGGAAGATCACGAGGGCAGGTTTCATGTTTATGAAATGCATTTCTCTCAGATTAAGTTAGCCAGCAGTGGAACTTCCCATCACTGTTAGAATGAAACCTTCTTTCCTCTCATAATAGAGTAGGTCTTGCTAAACTAGGCCAGCTCTACTCAGGGGCACCTGTGATTCCAAGAGTTGTCGTAAAGCAACGAGACACATGAATGCCTATCATATATTTATCTCCTAAATCACCTCTCCATAAACTGAAGTACTGGCTTGGGTGCCTTAAAAACTGTGCTGTCACTGAATTAATTTACATTTGAGTCAACTGAATGTTTCAAGGCAGGGAAGTAAAATATAAATGGAAGACTCTGAGTAGGCATCCACTAGATGATCCTAAGAGAGTGCCAGGAGGACGAATGAAATGGGGATGTTGCCATGGTTACCAGGAAACAGAGCTGGGACTCTCATTGTCAGGAAGATATTGAAAATGTGGCCCAAAAAACTCATAACACTGGAGGCATTCTGTACTTTAATTAGTGTGATCTTGGCTTTAGGAAGGAAGCCTGAATGGAGAGAAGTATCTTCATTCTGCCAGTTGGCAGTGTTCACTTCTTAGAAAGCTTTGCCAGTTATATGGCACAGGCCATCTTGAAAATGAAGGTAATTTCCTAATTGGAAAATGGAATAAACTTATCAATCATTCACGGAAGCCCCCTGCCATGGCTACGCAGAGAAAACTCTGGTTCCAAATGAGTAACACGCTTCTGTAGTCCCAGGTCAGGCTGGGGAGGTAGCTGCTCTTGCCTCAAAGGCACAAACTGAAGTTGGCATCTCACAGTGGCTTACCGCCTGCCACAGCACACTCTGTATTCACTCTCCACTACAGTCAGCTAGGCTTAGAGCTCAAATACGTATAGTAAGCAGATCAAAGGGGTCATAACGCTCATCTTCATACAGATTATTTACAGATTAACAGCAGAAACTGCTGGGCTTAGTGGTGTACCCTGCAACTCTGGCACTCAGGAGTCTGAGACAAGATGGTCTCAAGCTTGAGGCCAGGCTGAGTCACAAAGAAAGACCCTGTCTAAAATTTTTTAAAAAGAGAACAGTAAAACCAATAGCAACAAGCAAAACAGGCAGTCACTAAGACAGACAAAAACAGAAAGGCAATTGCCATTTGTAATAGGATCTAGACACGAGGGTTAGACCCAAATTGAAATTAGACGCAGGTAGCAATGAAGTAAACTTACTGCATCTTCCTTGCTATTTGTTTTGACTATCTTTCTTATATAAAAATATGTTGGATTGAGGGAAAGGAAAAGGAAAGATGATATTCCCCCCAAAGAGGAAATGTACTTGCTTATGAAATGGTAGGCCCTTTCTGCATAACAATTGTTTAAAAAATCTATTGGAGGGCTGGGAAGCTGGCTCAGTGGTAGAGCGCTTGCCTTGCATGCATGAGACCCTGGGTTCCATTCCTCAGCACCACATAAGCAAAAAGAAAACAAGCCCTTCCGGCTCAAGTGGTAGAGCGCTAGCCTTGAGCTGAAGAGCTGAGGGACAGCGCCCAGGCCCAGAGTTCAGGCCCCACGACCGGACCCAAAAAAAAAAAAATCTATTGGACTCTGACAAATGTACCTTCTATCAACTGAAAATTTACCCGTTATCAACTGCTGCATAAATTATGAAAGGAATAATGGATAGCAGCATAATTAGAAGAAAGGATGAGTGGGAGCCAGTGGTTTATATCTATAATTCTAACTTTTCAGGAGGCTGAGATTCAGGGAATCAGAGTTTGAAGCCAGCTTACGCAGAAAAGGATATGGGACTCCATCCTCAAAATGTTTAGCAAAAAAATCAGTCTGGAGGGCTGACAGAAATGGTAGACTGCCAGCTGAATGCTAGGCTCTGAGTTCAAA